TTTAGTAAGTTATGGTCATATTCCTCGGGTATGGCTGGTAGAGCGGGAATATGCTTCTTAACTACAGGTAGCTTCGTTTCGTGTGACTTTTTTGGCTTCTCTACGAAGTGAGGAATGCCCTTAGTCATGTCAGAGTTCACGTCGTTCACCCCAAACTTCATGTCTTTGGTAGCTCGTTGAAGTTTGTTGTTATAACCCACGACGGAATTGGCGTTGATGACCATATTACTTGGCATTAACCAACAACCAGGCGACAAGGCGTAATCTAACCGCACTTTGGATTGCTGCACCGCTAATTGATATCTTTGAACTGACTTGGATATGTCATTTTTATTATTGCGGACTCAAACAGGGTAAGGAATTCTTGTTGCGTTTCCCGCGAAGCACCTTGGGAACCAACAATGGGGCTGCGGGTATTTACCTGCGCTCCCAGGGTGCAGTAGACGAATGCTTCAATGCTGCGGTTAATTCGAGCTGGGTTTCTTAGACCTTTTCCTCTTAATAATACGAATGGATCCCAAGGACTGGGGTAAATCGTCTCAATCCTATCGATCAGCGTAACGTYATTCTTGCGACCACCCAAGTCGTAAAACTTTAGGACYCCGGGGTATTTTTGATGATACATGTCTGCCGGACGCACCCCGTCAACATGCCAATCATAGATAATGCCCAAGCCATGCGTGGCGCCCTCCCGATAACGAAAGTCTCTTTGCTGCGGCTTAAACTCATTCATTAGTCTTTCTAGGGCAGCGGAATCGTAGTGGTTATTCATTCGATTGAATGGCTTTTCCCCTGGCAGTGSCACGTGCAGCTCCTTCAATATGCGCCGCATAGTAAAGGCAACGTGGAACCTTAGAAAGGCAATGTCGAACATATCCGCGGCAACCCCGCAGCCCTTTGTAGCCGCCCAGACGGCAAAGTTTAACTGCTGCGGCCAGTACTTAAAGTTGGGYCCCTTTAGCCATTCGTGGGCTTCTTTTCCTGAAGTGTGCGTAAGGTTAAAATCCTTAAAGATATCCCTTATTACTACGTCAAAGGTTTGCTTACCCACTGGAATCTTTAGGTGTGTTACCATCTTATCAAAGTTGTTTACGCCACCTTCAGCATCGTAAAATG